GAGTGTGGGTGAAGATGAGGGTGAGTGTGGGTGAAGATGAGGGTGAGTGTGGGTGAAGATGAGGTTGAGTGTGGGTGAAGATGAGGGTGAGGACGTGAGTGTGGGTGTGGGTGCTGTATTCTTTCTCTGTTAAAACTCACACCCATACCAAACAAGCACTCACATCCTCAGCCTCACTCTTTCCTTTCTCTCCTTGTATATAAAAGTAAAGTTTCTATTCGACTTACTTAGAACACCATGAGTTTTAGTTAAATTATGGCGTCACGTACGTTTTAGGTACACTTCATTCGAAATTCTCTTATTTAAATATAAAGGACATTTTTTAATTCCGGACCAATTCTTAGAAGACATTTTGTCCAACGACATTTAGTTTGGGGACATTTTCTAAAGGACAAAATCTAAAGAACATTTTTTGAGAAGACCAAAACTGGAGGACATTTCGTCCAGGACATTTTCTAAAGGACATTCCTGACATGATTCATGAATTTCTACGAAAGGCTTAGTTACTACTGCCGTATTATTTCTTCAAAATCTAACTTATCTTTGTATGTTTTACTTACTCTAGTAATGTATATACTATCTGACCATTATGTTCTTCGACATTATTTTCATTTTTATCCATGACGCAGCTGTTGTTAGATGACATAGTCGGTGGAGTGAGTAATACATTCCAAGACGATATGGTTTGATCTAATGTTGGAATACAAGATGAACCATGTAGAATCAAGATAGAATTTCTCAAAGACGAAAAGCAAGGAGTTCATTTGGTAAGTATCATTTTTTTGTTTTTCAAAGTGTATACTTTGCTCTGTTAACAGCCCATTCTTTCCTCAAGCAAGATTATTTTAAAGTACATTTAACTTCAACAAAGATCTTGAAATCTTTTTAATGAATTCCCTTATTATTTTATGAAAAACGTAAAGTCCTCAGATAAAAACAATGAAAACTGCTAAGATGATTATCGAACGAAATATTTTGATGATTATTTAAAGTTCTTTGTATAAATATAGACATGTTATAGTATCAACGGCTATTCTCTAAAACAATCCTACACAAATCATAAAGTATAAACGATTCTGAATAAAATAGTGTTTTTCTACTAGAACTATGTTTGAGGATTCAAGATAATCAATTATGCAGCTACATACTATTGGATGAGTTGACTTCAATTTCGTTTTGTGTTTGTATTGTAGCTACATCCATATCATTGTTATCTAAAATATAGATGATAGTGACAAAGATTATTATTATTAAAAGAATAATAAACCTATAAAAACAGGTGGTTCATCGTTGGGTGCAGTCTTAAGATATGAAGTAACGTATTTTTGTATTAATTCTTGCCTAAATAAAGCAACATCAATTGAATCGACTGAACAATTTTGTTCTATATGGTATCGACATGGTATAATAGGAATATCTGCATGACCCTCTTCGATCCAACTAGGCAAAGCAAAACTGATTGATTCACTCCAGCTGATATCTTCCGTGTAACTTTGCGCTAAAGCTCCAGCAGATAAAACTATGAATTCGTTCGCATGTTGGATGATTCGATGGTAACGAATGTAATTTTTATCCAATATCGAAGGATCAATAAATAATTGTCCATGATCAAGACAAAGAGATGGATTTTGTTGATCAACTAAATTTTGTAAAGCTTCTCGTTGATCAGATGGAATTATATACCAGTGATGATCACCACCTTCATGATGATAATCAATGGAAAAGAGGCGTTGTCGAGCAGAGATCAACGGAAAAATGGCACCCGGTCCATGTGCTCTTTTCACACATGGAACAAATTGATTTGTTAGTTTTTTTCCACCTAATTTAAGAAGTGATTGATAAGGTATACGATGAAGATCAAAATATACAGAAGATGTTTTTTCAATGAAGAAACTCGTGTTAGATGAAAGTGAGATATTTAAATCTCGTTGTTCTTTGTTTGACGCAGATAACGATGACCAAAAACTATATTCATTTGTTACCATTAAATGTTTTTGAGTAGATTCATTGATATGATTAATTGTTTGACTAGAATAAATATTAACATTTTCATTGATTTTGACAATTTTTTTCATGATTGGATTTAATGTAAGAGTTTTTGGTCGTTTCTTTAAAGCTAATTTACAATCAATATTTGGTTGAACTTTAATTGCGCCAAATTCTTTTAAAAGTTTTTCATGTTTGTAAATAAAACGAACAAAATTTTGTAAATCATTTCCATTAATTTGTAGAGTTGGAATATCGATTGAAACTGATGACATTGTTAACCTAAAGAATTTGTCTTCAAAATAAATCTGTTTCGATTTTTTATTAATCTAAACATAAAATATGTAACGGAAAATAAGTGTATATAAATGGTATATGTAATATCTTATGAAATAATAATAATATCCAAATGATAATAGATGTATAATGCTGATGCAACAACAATATACACTCTATATTGGTCGTATAACTTCCTTTGTGAAGGTTAAAGGTTCAGACTTTATTCCGTTTTCGAGTCTTAATTCAGAATGACTACTTGCAATGTTACAGTGCGTATTTCAACAATACGTAATACTTTTATTAGGCACAACCACCAACTCTAATATTCACTAACTGACTCTGATCGAGAATCAAACTAGAATGAATAGGGAGAGCGACAAAAAAGAAAGAGGACGAAAAAGATAAAAAGAGAGAAGGATAATGAGGAAGAACTGAAAGAGAGAAATCAATCGGAGAGGGCGGAGGAGAGAGAAAATATATTCAGAGGAAAGAAACAAGAAACAGGAAATGGGGGAGAAAAAGATCACGTATTAGTGAATCAAATAGGAGGGGTAACATTTAAAAGGATGTCCAACACTTCTCTCGGTACAAAATAGTTGATTTAATGTTTAATCATAAACAAAGGTGGAAAAAATATATTTCTAATTTTACTAATAACTTCTCTGTTTTTATAAGAACATATATATTTTAGTGTGTTAAGTAATAAAATATCTATCAATCATAGAAATATAAGTTGAAATAACACTAATAGATGGAGATATTTAAAAAATAACACTTGTTCCCTTTTCTGAAAGAAAGGGTTATACAACGTTAAAATCATGGGCTTAAAATGGTAAAAGTTTGTCTGTCTGTCTGTGTGTCTGTCCAAGCCAATCAGAATACAGCATTTCATAAACTAGTGAAAACTTACCTATAATCATTCAGAAATGATTTTACCAAGGTTTTTAGGATCGAGAAACTCCAATGTGAGGTCTGTTGCGTGACTGGGTGAGAGGCATGGGTGAATAAGTGGGGTGGGTGGGTGAGAGGTCAAAAAAATATCGAATATCGATTTTCAGGAAAAGACATTTCTCCAAGTATTTCGATACGGAGACTTCGAATCTGAGGTCTATTGGGTGACTGGGTGAGGGGATGGGTGCGTGTGGGTGAGAGGTCAAAAAAACATTGAAAATCAATTTACTAGAAAAGACATTTCTAGAGGTATTTCGATGTGTAGAATTCGAATCTAAGGTCCGTTGGGTAACCAAAGCACAGTGGGCAACTTTCGTATGCCAGGCGGACATGTAGGTTTTTTCCTTGAAAATCGATTCCTATAGATTAGAAATGATCATATATCACTTAGAACATCATCTTAAATGGAATAAACCATGTTCGAAAAAAAAACATTTTCCCTCTAAAAATGCCTTTGGAGGACCTCAGCTAAAATTTTCAAAAAAACTTTTTGTTAAAAAGCACGTATTGTTGCATGTCATTCGATGCAGTTTTACGCGCTGATTCGAAATATCACTTTGGTTTTTTGCTAAGGTGCTGTTTTAAGGCAAAAGGAAAAGATGACTTTTTTTTTAAACTGTCCCTGCGTGTAGGTCGAAAAACAATTTCGAATAAACACTCTTTATTACATATGGTTAGATGCAGTTTTGTGAGCTGATTCCGATTATCACATTATTTTTGCGTCAAAATGTTCTCATCTTCTCAAAACTGGCCATTCCGGGGCAGAAACCTGGGTTTTTGGGAGATCGCTAACTCAGTCTGTGCTCACTAATGCAACTTCGCGCTATGACCAACGATAAACCACACATAGAAGAATATTTGCTAAAAATTTGAGCTCAATCGGATGAAAACTCTTTGTAGCGTTGACAAAATACCGTATGACCTATTTTTTGACCTAGTATGGATCCAGTAATCACTTTTTTTCTAAATCATTTTTGGTTCAATCGAAATAATATTTTAATGCAATATAGCTCATGGGTCAATCATTCGTTTCAGACAGTTTTTCTTCTTATAATGTTTTGATAAGTTAAGAAAAAAAGCGGTTTCCGTATAATTACCGATTTATAAGCAATTTTCGAGAAAGGGCTTTTTTCGGGGTATGACTTGATTTTTGGAAATTTAGTTTTAGGGTAAAATAGACTGACCATAGACGTATCCATTCCAATATTTGAACTTTGGAAAATAGAACTATCGATCATGTCCGCCTGGTTGCCCACTGTGATGGGTGACCGGGGGGAGGGTGAAGAGGGTGAGTGTGGCTCGAAGGTCAAAAAAACATCGAAAATAAGTTTTCTAGAAAAGACTTTTCATGAGGTGTTTCGGTACAGAGACTTCGAATTTGTACGTCGTTTGATAAGACTACTGAATGAGAGGGTGGATTGGCAGAAGTGACGTGTACTGATAGAAACCAAGCTTTTGGGTAATTTATTTTTATGGTCATCCAAATGTTCTCTCTGTCTGTAGTACAGTATGTGGCGATCACAAACTGTTGGCTCTCTTACGTATAAGATTACTAACACTTCACTTATTTGTTAAAGGCTAGTTCGACAAGCCACTAGTGACGACTGCTCAAATTTGTTTTGATCTGCGTTTATCTACGAGTAGAATGCGAGTATGTGCCAAGAGGAAGGGACAATAAAGGAGAGCAAGACTTTTAATTGTTTTTCCAGTAGATGTAAAGAGGATGCATTACTACGTGAAAGAGCTAAGCGTGTCTTCGGACGAGCGTTACTTGTTTGTAGTAGCTGACAACATAGTTCTCCTTTTCTTAGTGTCTTTCTGACAATCATAGTATAAAATACTCAGTATCTTTCTTAGAGAAATTCACACAAAATACACCTCTTCACTCCAAAGTTGAACTGATAGGGAAGGAATTAGTAGGGTTCAACACAGAAACGGCTAGCCGTGAGTGGCCGACTGGAGGGAGGGCGACAAATGACTAGACGTTAATTGAGAAAGTTGTTTCGTAGCGCAGTTTTGAAATGAGTGTTAGTTAGTTTAAGTGGTTTTTAAAAGCACGTAATGAATGCTGATTTAAGAAAGACTCCAGTCGCTTATCGTTGTATCAAAATAGAAAAGAAATTGAAAACGATGACGAACACTATGCAATGTTGCCTAAATGTTGGAATTTTTCGATTGCGAATCGATATGTTATAAGTAAAATAGTTTAGTTTTACGTGAAAAATTCAATGTGACAGTTCATAGACAGAAAAATAGATCATATATAGTAACGGCTAGCCGTGAATGGCCGACTGAAGGGAGACCGACGAACGACTAGACGTTGATTTGATAAGTTGATCCTAAGTGTGATAAGTGCGATTTGAGGTATTTTGAGAAATTATCAAGCGATTCGTTTCTTGAGCTAAAAAGAAACCTTTATTACTCATTTGATGTAACAAGCCCTATTCAATAAGAGATTTGTGATTGCAAACATATCCCAGTTTGGTTGTGCTATTAAACTTGCTGAATAAAATGAAACATTTGAACGACATTTAATTGCACTTTCTTAAAAAAAATTGAGTAGCGATAAATATCGTGCTTAGAGTCATGAATATTTATCTATTCGTTTTGTTCAAATGAGTTTAAGTTCAAGATTAGAAAATACGAAATCTTGAAAAACTAAATATGGTCAGATATCTGTAATAAAACTGCTTAGACTTGGTCGAGGACAATGAACTCGACTTAAAGGTATATTTTTGAAAATGGTACAACGTTGATAGAGTACATGTTTAGCGAACCATCTTAGAATATATACTTTAGAAAGAGGATTAATTTTTTTTATAGCATCAACTTTTCTGTTCATTCAGGGATATTAAGGTTGTTTTGCCCAGATTATTTTTAAAGTGAAAGAATTCTCGAATATGTGGCATCACAACTCCTTAAACGCTTTGAATTAGATCAGTTTTTTCAAAAAATAAGACATAAGGCTGTGACTGATCGTTCATTCCTCAAATTAACAATGAACCTTGTTCGATTAAGATTTCATGGGTAGATCCTGTCTAGATTCCTTTTCTTAACTTGTAATCAAAATCAAAATTATTTTTAATGATAATCATAGAAACGTTTCTTTCAGAAAAGGGCC